AAATAAAAGTGACTAACACAATGGCAAGCCAGTCCAAAATGAGGCTTCTAATGAGAGGGTGATAATACTAAGAGGAGCTGAAATACTTGGTCTTCTAGTCAGTAATATGATTATGCTTATAATAATACAATAATTTTAGTGAAGATTTACTCTATACAAGGCACTGTGTATGTTTTATCCTATTTAATTCTCACAATACTAAAAGGGTTCACAAAAGACTGTGTGGAGGCACCATAAATTTAAAATCTTGCTCTAAGTCACACCTAGATTGCTAACAAGGTCCAATTTAGGTCTTAAACTCTGACTTGTCTGACTCTATCACACCCACCCTCGTTTCCCTTGTCTCCTCCCACACTGTTTAGAAAAGCATCCAACAGAGCAAAGTGCTTAGCATGAAAGACAGGCATTATGCAAATTTTAACTCTTAAAGGTATTCACAATTTGCCCAACTATATCATCAATACTAGCTTTTACCTGGTGTGTAGCTGTAATGTGCAAGCTCTGTATTAACTCCATTCCGGAGATTATCTTAGAGTCCAAGATTGCTGCTCTGGCTCCAGCCATCAGCAGTAGCTCTCAGCTAATGCAGGTGACATCACCGTCCCCACTTCCTCACCCTTCCAGGGTTGCATAATAGTAAGATGAGTAATTTGCTTGGAGCTGCCACACACTTTGCTAATAACATCCTGAGTCTCAGAATTCATGTCAGTTTGCCTGTGAGGCTAAACACTTGAAGAGTGTTCCTCCTTCAGTCACATAAACCGTAAACCTCGTCCATGAGTTGGTCTTTTGGTCAGGACCTTATATACCTATTGATCTAGCCACTTAAAGTCATCTTTGTTAATATATTGTTCCTAACGCCATTGGGTAATTGAGGTCTTTGTTTTTCAATTGCTTATTTATTTATTATTTTAATTGATAAATTGAAATTTTAATTGACAAATTAAAATTGTATATATTTTAAATCATTTTTGAAATATGTGTGTATTGTGGAATAACTAAATCTAGCTACTTAACAGATGCATTACCTCACAAAATTACCATTTTTCCATGAGTCAAGAGTGCTTAAAATCTACTCATTTAGCAATTTTCACAAAGGACATGAATAGATACTTTTCAAAAGAAAACATACATGCAGCCAACGAGCTCATATCAAAAAAGCTCAATATCATTGATTGTTAGAGAAATGCAAGACAAAACCACAAAGAGATATTATGTCACACCAGTCAGAATGGCTATGATTACAAAATTTTTAAATAACAGAAGCTGGTGAGGTTGTGGAGAAAAAGGAACACTTATACAACGTTGGTGGGAGTGTAAATCAGTTGAACCATTGTGGAAGACAGTGTAGCAATTCCTCAAAGACCTAAAAACAGAACTACCATTGCACCCAGTAATCTCATTACTGGGTATATACCCAAAGGAATATAAATCATTCTATCATAAAGACACAAGCATGCGCATGTTAATTGCAGCACTATTCACAATAGCAAAAACATGAAATCAACCTAAATGCCCATTAATGATAGACAGGACAAAGAAATGTGGTATATATACACCAAGGAATACATGCAGCCAAAAAAACAAAAACAAAAACAAAAACAAAAAACAAACAAACAAACAAAACAAGATTATGTCCTTTGCAGGAACATGGATGGAGCTGCTGGAGGGAGCTGGAGGCCATTATCCTTAGCAAACTAATGCAGGAACAGAAATCCAAATGTCACATGTTCTCACTTACAAGTGGAAGCTAAAGAGAACACATGACACATAGAGGGAAACAACACACACTGGGACCTGTTGGTGGGTGGAGGGTGAGAGGAGAGAGAGGATCAGGAAACATAACTAATGGGTATTAGGCTTTATACCTATGTGATAAAATAATCTGTACAATGAACCCCCATAACATGAGTTTGCCTGTATAACAAACTTGCACATGTACCCTTGAACTTAAAATAAAAGTTTAAAAAAGGATACAACATGATTAATTATAGTCACCATATTGTACAATAGGTTTCCTGAACTTATTCCTCCTGTCTAACTAAAATTTTGCACCTTAAGGTCTGTGTTTTATTGTTCATATATTAGGCTCTGGTGAACGGGTAGAATTTTTTTTTTTTTTTTTGAGATGGAGTCTTGCTGCGTTGCCCAGGCAGGAGTGCAATGGCACAATCCTGGCTCATTGCAACCTCCACCTCCTGGGTTCAAGTGATTCTCCTCCCTCAGCCTCCTGAGTAGCTGGGATTACAGGCAAGCGCCACCATGCCTGGCTAATTTTTGTTTTTTTAGTAGAGATGGGGTTTCACCATGTTGGTCAGGCTGGTCTTGAACTCCTGACCTAGTGATCTGCCCTCCTTGGCCTTCCAAAGTATTGGGATTACAGCCATGAGCCACCACGCTCAGCCTAGAATTTTTTCCTGGTTGTGAAAGTATAGTCTCTTTTTCTACTAATGGGTTCAAACTACTAATGATCTGGTCTGAAGCAGGTTAAAAGACAGTCATAGTTTTTATTTTGCATCCTCCATAGCACCATTATCCAAAAATTATGACCAAAATCATCAAAATACACCCTTAGCAAAGATTCCAAGAACTCCTAAAGACAGTTCAATTTTCAAAATAAAATCTATCAGATGCATTTTGCTTTATTTTGTTTATGAGTAAAGAAGAATCTAATAAGTCAAACTTCTGGTAGGAGAGGGGCATCTGTTGGCTAAAAGCAACGTATATGTTAAGTCCATAGCCTGTGCCAGGTGCTCTGAACCTACCTTTGCTTTAAAACATCTGGTGAATATTAAAGGATGGCTACATCACAGGTTTGTTCTAGTTAGCCTCTGCTATATGAACAAACCATCACGGAGATGGAATAATTCTATCTCTAGTCTTCCATGTTTTTTCCTTCTAGAATTTCACTAAACTATGCCATTTAATATTTATACCACACTATTTGAGTGTGGTCTGTGTATTATAAGTATTTATTTTGGGACCACTTTAAGGAAATTTCCATAGTTCCATTGTTGTGTGGTCATTTTATTGAAGATCATTAAAACCAATGTAACTGGAAAAGTCTTTTTATTTTTTATAACTAACTCACCTGCTTTCCCTAAAGAGTGCCTCCTACTAACTCCAGAGCAAAAGTACTCCTGAGTATCTTTATGGGTTTGATATGCAGGTTTGGGACTGAAAATTTGAGGGGGTCTTGAGTTCCATGTCTCAGTTAATGCGATTCTTTCCAGACTAACCAATTAGTACACAGAAAGCCCAGCAATAAAGGCAAGTAAAAATGAGTAATCTCCAGAAACTTTCAGGTGCCTTGGGGAGGATTAAGATTCCTCCAGGCCAAACCCAATTAGGGTTTGGGACAACTCACTTCAGGTCCCAAGGACTTTAATAAAATCTTCTGATCTCTAGGTTCTTTATATATATGTGTGTGTGCGTATATATATACACACACACACATATATGTATATATATGATATATTTATTATATATATATATTCATGCATATATATTTAAAACGCAAAATAACCCTGTGGACCAGATAGCTCATGTATTATTTTTGAGAAAAACTTGAGTACCAAAAGGTTATACTGTTCATCTATCACCATTTTGATGAGGCCAACAATCTGTGTCCCAAGATCCTTTAATATTCTTGTCACCAAACCCAGGGACTTTTCCAAAATCAGAATATAAAGACAAGAGGTAGAACACAAGGTGACTTTCAAGTGCTTGCATTTCCAAGTGATGATGGTTGGAAATGTGATTTTAAGTCTGTACTGTGCTTTTTAATAACTTGATTGTGAAGCTGGAAAGACCGTTCCTGCCTCTGCTTGGTGGTCTCATTAGATTACCATTCTCCTCAATGTGGGCAATTTATTCCAGTTTCCCTTTCCTATCTTCATACCATTCATTCCAATGCAGGGAAAGGATTTCAAAAACCACTGCAATGTTCCCATTAGTATTAAATCTTACACTTTAAATTTAAGATATTTAATATCAAAGCTTCAAAACTGCCAGATGGATAGATTTTTCTTATTGATTATACATTTAATAATTTTATGAGAAACTACATGCTTATTTCTGTTAAAAATGATTGCATTGAAGATAGATTAAATAAAAACAACAGCCCAAATTCCACCACTCTGCAATACATTCATTCAAGTAACAAACTTGCACATGTACCCCTAAATCCATGAAAATAAAAAATACGACATTTTTAAAGACCTATTTATTTGGTTAGTGTTGTTATAACAACAAAGTAAAACCTTATTTTTAAGTTGTGGTTTCTTCCACATGCAAAAAAAAAAAAAAAAATTATTTGTTGTGTAAGCTAATTTATTCCCATCCTATTCATTTTAATAATTTTTTCTCATACTTGGAACAAGTCATTACATAAAATAATCATCTTTTTGCCCAGGATAAAGTAATAAAAGAATTAGAAGAAACTTAGCCCAAAATTTACACACAGACATTTGTAGTATTTCCATCTTGTGAACTTCAGATTTATTTTCACCCTGGCCTCTTATTTTGAAATTGCTTCTCAGAGTCATCACATTTGTGCCTGTCTTCATGGTAAATTGTTTTTCGCATAGCAATATTCTCAGATCAATTGCTGGTGGTAGTAATGTTAGTATCAATCATGTACAAATATGTAATAGCTGGGAGAAAAATGAGATTCACCTCCCCTTCTTCTTTTAGCTAGGTACAATTTGCTCTTCTGAAATATGTCTTTACTACAAAGTAATTTCCTGGGAAGTCTGAAAACACATCAGTTAGGCTCTAAGAATTCTTTCAGCCCACCTGATCTGCAGAGGCAGTAACGTTCATCTCTGTGAATTGGCCAGAACCATGGACAGATCCACCATACTACTGTACCAGATGGTGGTTCTGAGTGCTGTCATGGATAAGGGTCCTGTAACCTTTATCCGGCCTTCCTAAGCCTTTATATTTTTTTCCTTCAGTAAGTCCTTCTCCTCTTCCTCCTTCTTCTTCTCTTCCTCCTCCTCTTCCACTTTTTCCTTTTTTGTAATTTCCTAGCCTTTAGATGTTAGGATTTCCTGGTTGTTCACAATTTGAATTCTAATTGTTTGGCCCTGAGGACTTTTCCCAAAATTGCTCACTGATTTTGCAATTTTTTCCTTGCCTTTTAATATGATTTTCCTTTGCATTATTTCTTTTGCCCCAATGTATGTCACATTTTTGTTCCCCTAAGTTGTATTCTTTTGCTGTGTTAATGTTGGCTACTGTGTTCACCCAGCCAGCCTCTCAGAAGGCTATTTGTTTTTGTTATATTCCTCACAAATGCTATACTTAAATATGTCATAATTTGAATGTAAATGTATCCCATGTGTAGCATGTGTCATATTTTACATAGGTGATATGTTGGTCAGGATGTCAGCATGAAAGAGCTGGTTTACACAGATGGAGTAATTGAAGAGAGTTTATTGAGGGACTACTTACAAATGTATGGAAGAATAAAGCAAATGAAGCATAGTGAAGCCCATGGGATTAGCAACAGACTGGAGTCATTATCCTGTTAGACCTAAAGAGACAAGGGAATGGTGAGGCTAGTGGAATCTGGAGAGGGCTTCCTGATGGGAGCTACAGCATTTGGGACAGGAATGAAGTTAATATGTAATGAGCCAGCAGGAAGGGAGCCTGGAAAATGAAAACCACGAGATGACTCTCCCACCCCACTCTCCAAGTTTTTAAACAGCACTTCTTGTTGGCTGAATCCAGTGGGAGACCATAAAGTAATGAATCTCACTGATGTGGTCCACAAAAGTCAATCTCCAGGCACAGCACCCAGTGGAGAACCACGGAGAGGAGATCTGAAGGGAAAACAGAAATAACCAGACACATATAGTATGCATTGTTGGATCTACAAAATAATGTTGAAAAATTGAGGAGACATTATAAACCCAAATCATGTTGTAGAACCCAATTTATCCATATTGACCACTTGGTACTTCTAACAAGTGACTGATCTTCAGGGGTCTCTTGCTCAGATACTTTGTCCTCTCTTGAAGATTAAAGCCAATTATTCATCATGAGATGCCTCACTCAATGCCACTCACCACTCAAAACATTAGACAAACATGAGTAGGTAATCATCATTGTCTAACACTAGCATAGCTTGGAAAAACCTTCAAGTGAATATATTCAGCCATACGTGAACAAGTAACATCATGTTCTACCAAAATTTTTTCCTCAGTTTATTCAATGATTTATAATAGCTTTCAAAACTCCCCTTGATTGAGGTTGAACATAACCCTTAAAATCTGAAAACAGCCACAGTGCTGTGGTTTTTGACGAATCACCTCAGCTAAAAGTCACAAGCTCATGCTTCTTATTTATTCATCTGTTCTTGCCAAGGAAACTTGCCAGCTCCTCCTGGTGCATGTCTCCTGGGAAAAATGAGAAGAGAAATAATAAGGGCACCTTGAAGAAACAATGTAATTATACATAAAGTACTGTGGGCAATGATGAAAGTTGAGATGATTTTGCCATCTCATGTGGAACTAACAACAAGAGCCCTCCTTTCCCTGCCAGCAGAAAAAAGATATGAAGACACATTCTGGCATGGATATATATCTTTTTAAACATTTACTTTTAATCACCAATTTAATCCTGGCATTTGTATACAACTAAATGGTAAAATGACTAACTGACTTCCCTCATGAAGGCTAAACCCATGATTTGGTATGTCACCCCCATATTCTGATAAGCTGAGTCAACCCATCATCAACAAGTCACAAGATACAAATTAGTGACATGTTTATGCTGTTGGCTAATAGTTAACATTGCTGTTGGGCCCAAATGGACGAAAGGTCTTTCTTAACATCTACAAATAAATGACCAATGCATCAAATGTCACTCTCTCCACCTGGCATTTAGAGGATATGTTAGTATAACACCATACTGTTTACGACATTTTAGCTTTTTAGTTAACACCTTTCAATATACTCCTGATTCATAAATTGTCCCTCACCCTAATGCATTGTTCACTTTGATGAACAGGTATTGCAATAGACATCTGTTTTTTTTTATCTGTCCAACATCCTGGCCCCTTTCTCTGGAAAGTAGCTCCCATATTTTCCTCTAATAAAAATTTTTCCTTTCTTAGTCCACGTGGTTTAGCTTAGTCTAACGTCCCAGGTCAGCTCCAGGAGAAGGCACAACACACAGGCCTGGCCAGGTAGCTGATATCAATACTTGAACTCAATTGGGGAAAAATTGGTCACATGCTACAAGCCAAATTAATGAACTGCTATTCCAAAATGTTATAAACATTACAGGGGAAAAGATAGTTTCCTTTGAGGTTAAGCCATCAAAGACGGTAACGGACCCTACAAGTGAAGATGGTGAAAGCTCTGCATCCAGCCATACCTGAATCTGTAGCCACCTCTGGACCCTTGAAGGATGTGAAACTGGAAATTTTCTTCATTGCTACAGCCGGTTGGAGTTGTAGTTCCATCCCTTATAACCAAAAGAAAGAATTCTGATTAATGCAAGCGGGAAACTACAATCTGGAATGTGTTCAAAAATCTAAGGATAACATAACTAAATTCTGTTACCTATACTCAGCTCTGGGCTTCATACATTTGTATTATGGTTGAGTCTGAGCTGATCCAATTTTGAAAAAGATAAGTCTTACTTCTGTTGTCATCACATTGAACATTGCCATTTGTGTCAGATTCAGCCTCCAGCAATGCTTACTTAGCCATTCTTAAGAAAATATCCAAAAGCACACCCACTCTAATCCTCCAGTACTCTAGGTGGAGAGTGGTTCATTCTTCCATGCACAAATGAGATTATTAGAAGTTTTTTTCCTCAACATTTTGGAACAACAGTCCCCACATTTATTATAGATATTAATCTTAAAACTCAACCCTTTAAAATGGTTCCTGAGCCAGTTATTTAAATTACACTAACTTGTGAAAATACACTTTTTAATAAAAAATATCTGTAGATGCTGGATCTTGCTTGGTATGTAGTTTAGATTACTGCTCAGTAAATATTCTCTTCCTTCACCCTCCCTATACACAGTGCTATGCTTGGCCATATGATTTGCTTTGGCCAATACATTAGTGAACATGACGCAATAAAAGCCTTATTAAGTGTTTTTGCACGACTTGGCTTGGATTTTAAGCTCTGGTATTAAGCCATAAGAAGAGCACGTCTTGGGTAGGTAGCTGCTACCACTTCAGCCTGGGCTACAGAAAAAAATACGTGTGGAACAGACAAAAACCAAACACAACCTGGAACGTAGCTGAACCAACCTGTAGCATGAAGTAAAACTACTCAGTCAATCCCATTCTAGACCAACCAAACCACAGAAAACTATAATGTAAGAATGAAATACTTGTTGTAAGCTATTACAGTTGGGATGGTTTTTTCCACAGCACTGCAGGGGCACTATTTGACTGCTACACTTTGTATAAATGCGCTTCCATGCTTCATGTCCTGTTGTATAGCCCATGCAGCCAGTATTCCTTAAAAGATAGGCGATGCACAAGAGAAGTGGGTCCCTGATCTAAACTATTGTCATTGAATGTCAGCCCTTAATTTGATCTCAGACACAGTCTAAGCAAATAATTCCCATCCCAATTTACGTTGAGACCAAGAGGATAAAATGACTTCCCTCAGGTCACTTGACTAAAATGACATAGAGCTGATGTCGAACAGAAGAATCTTTGTTTCCAGCCTCACGATCTTCCCATAATGCCACTCTAACCTCTCTTGGGCATTTATAGATAAATTCCCACTCGACTTTAACATCTCTTGTATTGATAATGCTGGTTCCTCTAAGGACTAGCTTATAGCAAAATACAGAACATAAAAACTAATGATATTGGACTTTTGCAAAGGTTTTCACTACCAGAGAAGGGAGGTAATGCTAATTTGTCTATTCCTTGTCCTCAGAAGTAGGCAAAAAGTAGCTTTGGCCAAGACTGCCTCCATTTCCTTGAAAGTCTGTATTCTGAAAGTCTGAGTTCATTTTTTTACATCTATGCTAATAATTATTTAGAGAATATACTTCTATTTTCACCTTTTTTAATGTGTTCTATTAAATACATTATTTTTAGAAGAAAAAATAACTATTGGGTACTAGTTTTAATACCTTGGTGATGAAATATTCTGTACAGCAAACCCCCATGACACTAGTTTACCTGTACAACAAACTTTCACGTGTACCCCTGAACCTGAAATAAAAGTTAAAATAAAATACAAACAATAATTGAAAAAATCTGCATAGCAAAATGAAATGAGACCCTGTAGATTGTTTAAACCAGAAGTCATAAACTCAGATGACTTTAGGGTGACAAAAAGTCTCTATAGCAAAATGAACTGAGACACTGTAGATTGTTTAAACAAGTCATAAACTCAGATGACTTTAGGGTGAGAAAAGTAAAAGATGTGAGTCAGGAGGGGGGATGAGGATTCTTGCGAACTGAGCACATCAAGTCCTGTTACATGGGGTGGGGAGAACAACAACTACCAACTCTAGCTAATTGTGACCAGGTTGCCAAATCTTTGGTTATTCCAAAAGAAGTCACATCTCTGAATTCTTACGGGAAATAATAAATTTTTAAAGGATTGTGACTATTTTTTTGACACTACATTTCATATAAAACATACCTGTGAACTGGGTGTCACTGGTATGTAACTTCTGGCATAAACTAATGTACAGTGAATAGCACTGCAATAAACATGGATGTTCAGATGTCTCTTCAACATACTGATTTCATTTTCTTTGAATATATATACCCAGTAATTGGATTGCTGGATCACAGGGACGTTCTATTTTTAATATTTTGGGGAACGTCCATACTGTTTTCCATAATAGTTGTACTAATTTATGTTCTTACCAACAATGTATATGAGTACTCGTTTCTCTACATCCTTACCAGCAATTATTTTTTGTCTTTTCGATATTTACCCTTCTAACTGGGATAAGGTGATATTTTATCATGGTTTTAATTTGCATTTCTGCGATGTTAGTGATGTTGAGCATTTTTTCATACTCTGTTGGCCATGTGTATGTCTTCTTTTGAGAAATGTGTGTTCAGTCCTTTTGTCCATTTATAAATTAGTTTATTTGATTTTTTGCTACTGAGTTGAGTTCCTTATATATTCAGAATATTAACCCTTTGTCAGACACATAGTTTGAAAATATTTGCTCCCATTCTGTAGGTTGTTTCCTCACTCTACTTATTGCTTCTTTTGCTGTGCAGAAGCTTTTTAGTTCGATGTAATTTCTTTTGTCTGTTTTTGCTTTTGTTGCCTGTGCTTTTGAGCTTTTATTCAAAAATTTCTTGTCTAGCCCAATTTTAAGATGCATTCCACCTATATTTTCTTCTAGTAGTTTCATAGTTTCAGGTCTTACATTTACGTCTTTAATACATTTTTTTTTAGATGCTGAAAGATTGGAGACTAGTTTCATTCTTCTGCATGCAGATATCCAGTTTTACCAGCATCATTTATTAAAGAAACTATCCTTTCCCCAAAGTGAGCTCTTGGCGCCTTTATCAAAAATGATTTGGCTTTAAATGCATGAATTTATTTCTAGGTTCTGTATGCTGTTCCATTGGTCTATGTGTCTGTTTTATGTCCATCAACAGGTTAGTGGACAAACGGTTAGTGCTATCAGTCATGTAATGAATACTAACCAACAATAAAAAAGAATAAAATACTGTTACACATTACAACATGGATAAATTTCAAAACAACTGTGCTGGGTGACAGAATCTAGACAAAAAACAAGTACACATTATGTTATTCCCGTTATATAACATTCACGAAATATGCAACCTCATCTATGGTGGTATAAAGCAGAGTAGTGGTGGACTGAGGATGAGTGGTATGAAGGGGTGGGAGAAGTGTGGGAGGGAGGCATAGGAAAGTGGCATGAGAAATCTTTTGAAGAAGATGGATATATTCATTACCTTGATTGCAGGATTATTTCACAGGTGCATACATATATCAAAACTAGTCACATTGCAAAGCTAGTCAAACTTCAGTTTAATATATGTTAATTATACCTTAACAAAGCTGTTTTGAAAAATTAAAAAGAAATTAGTGCATAGTGAATGTGTTATTAGGAATTCAAAATAATCTAACTAGGTCCTATACTAATTTTAATATCTGGATTATAGGATTTTAAAAGAGAAAATAAATCTACAAACTAGGATTGAGTGACTAATTCTAGAAATATCTGTTTGTGAGGATGTACTTTTTGGTTCACTCCAGTATCATAAGACAATAAACTAGATATCGTATAGTGAAATTCCCTAAAAATAGACAATGCCATGTTTTGCCAAAACATCTCTGAAAGGATAGAATATTTTCAGAAGAGTGGAAAAGGTCTGAGAGCACAGCCATAAATGTATAACCCTTTCTCCAGCATATTAAGTAACACTATACATCAATTTATCTACTCGAGGTAGGTCATTCAAACTGATACTAAATAGTGTATAATTATCCAAAGCATTCAGATCAAAGTAAGGACTTTCCTAGAATCTTACGTTTCATTATAATGGGCAGAGTTTACCTTATAAAATCAGCGTATATTTTTGAATGTGTTAAATTTTATTTTACATATAAAATTTTTATCTTTTAGAATTCCTGTTACATTTGCTAACAAGCCATATACTTTGTTCTGTTTGAATTATTTCTGAGTTTTAAGTAGTTAGAGAAATACAAAAAAAACCTCCTTGTTGCAGATAATTTCCATAATTATTTAAAAAGTAAATTGAGAACGATTTACTATGTTTTTTTAAAAAAAAAAAACCATGAAAAAGGAAAGAGAAATAACACAAGGTAGAGAATTCATGAATAGGTAATCACTTTCTACAGACAATAAGCAATGTTCCAATAAACCCTGAGAAATAACTAATTAATTTTCCAAGTGAGCAAACATTATTCTGTAGTCCCGTAGACCTGAAAAGGAATCTAAAGATAGTGAATAGCAATGTGTTCCTAATTTTCAAAAGAAGATTAAAAGGGCCCTTGGTCCTCATTGTTTAGCTACTTCAAATCCTATCAAAATAATAGAACTTGAATTAGCAAAAGAAGCAAATATTCACTGTCCTGGAAAATAAGGAAGCAAGAAGTAGCTTTTGTTTATGAAGAGTTGATTGGTCTGAATAAATTTGATGACTTTTTGATAAAATTACAAAAGAAATACATCCCAAAGCACTGTAGATTCAATGCTCTGATGATAATAAACACTTGAAGCCATATGAATTCTCTTCACTATATTAATTTAAGATGCTTAAATAATAAAAGTCAGCTGAGAATTTTCAACTGAAGGAAAAACAGAGATAGGTTATTTAAGGAAAAGATACAAGTTGGCAAAAGCTATAGGAATTGGAGGTAGGACCAACTGAAACACAGTGATTTAGAAGTGGGTGTATACCGAAAAACTAAAATTTCCCAAGTACCTGAATTTTTAGTTATAGCAAATGTGAGAGTATATGTAAATACTAGAGGAAAATGAGGTGAGATCTTGAAAAATACGAATTGTCCAGAGGAAAAAAAAAGACTTGATCAATGCTGAGTTCAAAATTGGGCAGAAATCTGTAAAGTGGTAACGATATTTCGGAAAGTCTGCATATGGGTTGGAATGGAGGGAACAGACAAGGCAGGGTCTTTAGGAATAATCCATTGAAAGAGTTGACAGTTGATATGGTTTGGCTCTGTGTTCCCACACAAATCTCATCTTGAATTATACTCCCATAATTCCCGCATGTTGTGGGAGGGACCAAGTGGGAGATAATTGAATCATGGGGGCAGTTTCTCCATACTGTTTTAGTGATAATGAATACACCTCACAAGATCTGATGGTTATTATGAGGGGGGGTTTTCCTGCACAAGCTCTCTTTTTTTGCCTGTCACCATCCATGTAAGACCTGACTTGCTGCTCCTTGCTTTCTGCCATGATTGTGAAGCCTTCCTAGCCATGTGGAACTGTAAGTCCAATAAACCTCTTTCTTTTGTAAATTGCCCAGTCTCAGGTATGTCTTTATCAGCAATATGAAAACAAACTAATACCACAGTACAATATGACAGTAGAGAATTGTTCCTACCCAATTAACGTATCATTACTGCATTTAAAATGTTTGCAATGAATGCAGCAAAAATGTCAAAGCCCAACCTGATTTTTAACAAGGTTGTATTTTAAATTGTGATTTTCAGTGATATATACCCTATTTCTCTCCAGGTTACACACCCCATACAATTGAAGAGAAATAAACAGAAAAATTAGATCTTTCTCCAGTAGTCCAAAGAGTATTCAAAGGTTTGGGGGACTCTCCTAGGGCTGCTTCTGTCTTGCTCTGTATCCCCAGTCGTAGGTTTTCCTTGGCCTGATGCTCTATGAACCCAAAGTTCTCCTTTTAGAAGTACATCTAAATGCGAGTATCTCAATCATGCCTCAGGTGGTTTCATTTTTTTTTTTTTTTTAAATCACCCAAGATCTCTTGATTTCTAGTATGAAGCCATAATATGGGAATGTTCTAGTCTTGTTTTGCAGGACAACATCTTCAAAGAGACTATAGGGTTCTGTGGCACATCTGAGCCAGAACCAAACACCTGACGTCATTGTTACAGATACAAAAGTAAAGAAATGAAAAGAAGCTCCAGGTATTGATGATTTTTATATCTTATACTGTCAATCTGTTTGTGTCTGTTATTACTTTTTCAAGTACACAAAACTGATAAATATGAGACCATTTGGGGGAGGTTACACAAAAATAAGTATGCCTGTTGGCCACAATATGTTATTAAATAGTATTGTGGTCCTTAGCTTGTCTCAAATTATTGATGATGCTTCCTACATTACAGCATATGTTTTCACAACTCTTTGAAATTATAGACTTTTGGCTCTGAGGTATCTAATCCAACAGTCTCTTTTTACAGATAGAAAGACAGAGGCTTTGAGAGGTGCAATAGGTTGGCCCACAGCCAAGTGGTATACATACCTAGTACTAGCAGAGCCTGCAATAGGGCTCCTGGCAACTGGCTTCTAGGTCCATCCTCAAAATGTGCTGCTGCCATTCTTTCTACTGTTCACCTTGACTATTGTTACTGCCAAAAGGAGTTTGAAAAACAGTTGTCTAAAAGAGCAATTTGTGTGCACACATGGGTGTGTATTAGCATTTCAAATAACAATTATCAATAGATATCCAATGGATAAATACATTTCCTCTTCCACTTGCTTACTACATGCTTGTGTACTGAAAATTTAATATTTGAATAACCAAAAAAAATTATCTTTCCGTTTGCTACTCTGTCCTGACAATATTACAATGAGCTGTATTTTATGTAAACCACTAAAGATGACTTATTTTAATTAGTCATTCAGGTTTTATATCATTTGTGGCCAATGTTACACAGTTTAAGTTATTTAAAATATAGCTATATGAGATTCAACATTTACCAGCATTTCATATTTGGAAACTATTTAAGAAATGAAGTGGCCGGGTGCAGTGGCTCATGTCTGTAATCCCAGCACTTTGGGAGGCCAAGGGGGGGTGGATCACAAGATCAGGAGATAGAGACCATCCTGGCTAACACAGTGAAACCCAGTCTTTACTAAAAATACAAAAAATTAGCCGAGTGTCGTAGTACACACCTGTAGTCCCAGCTCCTTGGGAAGCTGAGGCAGGAGAATCGCTTGAACCCAGGAGGCAGAGGTTGCAATGAGCCGAGATCAGGCCACTTCACTCCAGCCTAGGCGATAGACCAAGACTCCATCTCAAAAAAAAACAAAGAAAAAGAAGAAAAGAAAAGACAGGAAGGAAGGAAGGAGGGAGGGAGGGAGGGAAGGAAGGAAGGAAGGAAGGAAGGAAGGGAGAGAGAGAAAGAAAAAGAAAGAACGAAAGAAAGAACGAAAGAAAGAACGAAAGAAAGAAAGAAAGAAAGAAAGAAAGAAAGAAAGAAAGAAAGAAAGAAAGAAAGGAAGGAAGGAAGGAAGGAAGGAAGGAAGGAAGGAAGGAAGGAAGGAAGGGAGAGAAAGAAAGAAAGAAAGAAAGAAAGAAAGAAAGAAAGAAAGAAAGAAAGAAAGAAAAGAAAGAAAGAAAGGAAGGAAGGAAGGAAGGAAGGAAGGAAGGAAGGAAGGAAGAGAAAGAAAGAAAGAAAGAAAGAAAGAAAGAAAGAAAGAAAGAAAGAAAGAAAGAAAGAAAGAAAGGAAGGAAGAAAAGAAATGAAGTATGGAACTGTGGTTTCAAAAATAAATTAATAAATATCTCTAGAAAGATAATAATTTTGTGTGCATCTTCAAAGAGATCTGGCTACATTAGCAGCACTATTTCCTAACACCCATCATCTTCTAAATTGATTTAGTTGATGCTCTTCGGATCTACTTTCTAAGGACTTAAATTTTTATCTCTGTTGAAGCTTTTGAAATGCTCTCCATGATTGTGAATCTGTCTAATGTAGTTTTCACACTTGGTGCCATTTTTTTCAAATGACAACACAAAGCAGAAAGAACCATGTGGTATTGTTTCATACCAACCTGGCACTATGGACGAACTGTAAGAAAAAGAGGGAGAGGAAGAGCTGCGGGTCTCTGAATAAGAAAACCTTGTGTTATAGTCAAACAGAGGGATTATGAGGGGGTAAGCTGTTAAACAAGATAGAGTGATAGAAAGGGGGAACACGGGCAGAGATGAGCCTCCGAGCAGTAGTGAGAAGAGGGGCCCAGAGCTGATCCGTTTCCTTTTATTAATACTTTTCCAGAAACCTTGCCTCCACCATGGCCCTAAGTCCTAACAGATAGCTTAATTTTCTTAGAGGAATTCAAATAACAATCATAAATAATGTCATACAGACTTCTAATGTTTTAATAAAAACCTTCAGCCATGCCCCACATTTTTGACAGTTTTTTAAAGGGCTCTGAGGGAGCCAACTATGTCAGCAAACAGACCTCCTCAGAAGACAGGGTGGCCCATGGCATTCAAAGTGTATTCATTTCTACCAATAGTGCTTTTCTTGCGTAGATTCTGACTTGCGTAGATTTGGACTTCATGCTAAAATAAAAAGAGAGGAATCTGTGTATACATGAGAATGTGTGCGTAACGTGTCGATGGTATAAATGGTCTCTTCCTTTCTCTCTGGATTGCATGCACTTAAGCCCCTAAGAAAAGATCTCTTACCTCTTATCCAAGTAAAGCAGGATTTTGAGCTCTGAAGCTAAATGATAAATGAGATCAGTGTAAATATTCTTTAACACAACAATATTTAAGTTGCTTTAAAGCAGCCGTCCTCATTTTGTTACATACAGAAGGTATGTACTTCCTCCCTCTGAGGCAAGAAGCGGAGTCCGTCGTCAGCAGTTAGCAGAGTCCAGAGCGCACGTTTCTTAACTGGATAACTTAGTTGCCCCCGCCCCACGTCGCCTCCAGCAGAAGACGCTCAGCGGGCGACTTGGCCCGGCGCCTGGGATCGTGGCTATGCCTTCCCCAACTCTCACTCTCGCTGTCCTTGTGCAGTGGAACGTCCCCAAGTCTGTGAATGCACCTCCCGGCGTGTCCACCCCGGCCGCGTCTCTCCTGAAGGCAGATCTTGGAGGTGCAGCCAGGACTCCTAGAGGAGCCTCCTCCAGTCACCATCGCGGGTGGGGCGAGCCCGGTCTCCGGCTAAGCTTCCCAGCCGCTTCGCTCCGGACCTGCCTGGAGCCTACAAAAAACAAGGGCTCCTCCTTGCACTCTCGCACCCCATGGATCACCCCTAGAAGGTGCTTTCCCCAACCCTCCTGGTGCCAAGGAGAGCAAACCTCCCCGGGGATTTTCCCAAAGTGGTGGGAGGAGGGTTAATATTTGCTTTGTTATTGGGATAAGGGGAGGCAAGTATGCCTTGAGAGAGAGAGAGAGAGAGAGAGTGTGTGTGTGTATGAGAGAGAGAGAGAGAGAGAGAAAGAGAGAGAGAGAGAGAGGTGTTTTGCAGCGGGAAACAAGCAGGAAGAGGCACAGAGGCCGGCGCCCCAGCTCCCTTCGGGGCCTCCGAGAGCGGCACACACCGTAATTCCCTTCCCAGAGCCTACAGATTCCCACAAACAATGACATCACTTCGCCGCCGCTGGCCTGATTACAGCTGGGGGGATTTTCCTGGGCGCGCGGCGGGCCAGGCTGAGATGGGGGAGCTCTCCAGTGCTGAAAGGGGCGGGGGCGCGGGCTAGCGGCGCTGCGCCCCCAGAAGGCGGAGGCGGCCGGGCCGGGCCGGGCCTGGGGAGGGCGGGGGCGGGCCCGGGGCGGCCCAGGGCGGGGCCCGCCGCTTCCCCCTCCCTCATTGGCCGCTGGCGGACTCACGTCACCCGAGCTGGTGCTCTCCTCCAGCCCCTGGGGAATTGGAGCTGAGGAGGAGCTGAAAATGCAGATTTAGCATCAAGCACAGACCTACACTCGCTCTTTCTCTCCGGTACACACAGCTCCCCACATTCGCACCCCTGCCCGCGCGCCGGGCCGCCTGACTGCACGGCTTCCCCTCTAGCCAGATGCTGAAGAACACACACTGATTCGCTGCTTTCCAAGACCCTATTCAGTCTCTTTCTCCACAAAGATTTTTTTTTTAACTCTATATATATATATATATTTTTTTTTTTTGCACCCTCCCTCCGAGTCCCCTGCTCCGCCAGCCTGTGCGCCTCCTAGCACCACTTTTCACTCCCAAAGAAGGATGAAGGGTGGTTGTGTCTCCCAGTGGAAGGCGGCCGCCGGGTTCCTCTTCTGTGTCATGGTTTTTGCATCTGCTGAGCGACCGGTCTTCACGAATCATTTTCTTGTGGAGTTGCATAAAGGGGGAGAGGACGAAGCTCGCCAAGTTGCAGCAGAACACGGCTTTGGAGTCCGAAAGGTAAGCTCTCCCATGCATTTCGCATGTTGTTTCAAAACGGGGGGCAGCCCTGCGCAATCTCATTGCAGATTTGCAAGTTTTCTCTCTTTCTCATGCGATGCAGATATTCTGCCATGGGCTCTTTAACACGATATTGCCTCCGGTGATCTTTCACCGGTTATGTAATTAAAATGTCCTTCATCTGTACTAGTAAGGTCATCAAAATAATTTATTGCTCTATGACTTGATGGCGAAAATAGGATAACACCTTTCAAAGGATACCATGCTCCCGGGATGCTGTCCGAGGTACCAAGTTCTCGAGGTTGTCTGGGGATGGAGGGATGAAGCCCTGAATAGCTGATCCTGGCGTTGGCTGCTTGGCCAGGGACGTCTCCCCCACCCCCATCCCCTGGAGAAAGAATAGTTTCCTACAGACGGGTCTGGAAGCTTGGATATTGCAATTCACCTAGGTGCTTCTCCCACCCCGCGCCGGAGGACTTCCCTCCCAGTGACTTCGGTCCCTGCTCCTCTCCGGGAACAACGGCTTCCTGACTCTCGGAAATTTGGAAACATAAACTGGTCTCCAAAATCGGGGGGGGAACTTCTGCGCCCTCACCCCCGCCCACGACCGCCCACCCTTGGAGCGCACTTCTGGTTGGCTCCCTAGCTCTCAACTCCTGGTTACAGGAGCTGGAGAGGTGGATTTTGAGGGGGATTCCCTACTGAGAAGTCGAGATGGCCTCTCCTGATGCGTTGGCGGCCAGCCTGGCTTTCCCACTAGAGCGTGGGGATCCCCATTCCAAGAAGTTGTCAGAGTTTGACAGTTTGGGCATATAGGTGAGCCTCTCAGCTTTCGACACCTTGGGTCTCCTTTGGAGACTCGAGGGTACCCATCCTGGGAGGACAGAGGAGAGAAGCGCGCTGGATAGGGGCTGTGGCTGACCTGCGTGTGTCTCCTGCAAAAGATGTATCAGGGATCTCCAGTGTCCTTAGGGGACCTGGCGCAGGCTGGGGTGGAGTGTGGGTGCAGAGAGAAGCTGGGGCTAGGGGAACCCAGAGGACAGAGATGTGGCTACCAGAGGGCTGGGTGGAGGTCAGTGAGATTTCAGGCTCCATCTCGCTCCTGATCCCAGCAAGAGAGGGGCGTGAGATGAGCGGTGGGTGCTTTTGGTTATTGGTTTTGCCTTGAAGGACCGCGCAGAACGAAGCTCTTATTAGTCTCTTCTGTCTTGACTTCCCAAGACTCCCGCCTCTCTCCTAGCCACCGCCAGAGCTCCTTCAGGTGTTGGGGGCTCTCCCTCCTCCTAAGGGCGTAGGCAGCACCGGGATTTCGACCCCAAGTGGGTCTGGTGACGAGTTTGACAGAGGTCTGGGAAGAGTCTCCGGGTCCGCCGGTGGCGCGCGGGCGGGTCTTGCGGAAAGGAACTTGTTGCTCCGGGAAGCGTGGGTGGAGCAGGGGAAAGAAGGCGCCGGCGGAGGGAGCACCCCGCTGTGGTTTTGGCCCAGGGCTTGCCGGCTGTTTTGAGAGACACCAACACAATAAAGAAGCCGACCTTCCTTCTTCACACCCCCCTCCCCTACCCCAAACTTGGCAAGACCCAGGACCCAAAGGTAAATAAAATATAATAGTGATTATTATTAGTTATACGGAACCTTGTGTGCCGGAGTCCTTACATACATTTTTACTTAATCTCAACATCTCTTGAGGAGGCTACTATTATTATTGAGCCTGTGGCCCCGTTGAGGAAATTGGTACAGGCCGGGATGTGAGATAAAAACAGGCAAGGGCTTCAATCCAGATCTTTCAGAAGTGAACCCATGCTCTTTACTCCTTAGTACCCACCCAAGCAAGCT